TGAAAACCTAAAAGAGTTGTACCCCATATTGTCTACCCCACTACAGCCTACAATATGGTTTTGACACACCCCCATAGGCAAAGTGGGGGACAAGCAAGAGAACAAGGCAAGGTCAAGCTCAGGGTGGATCACAACGTCACCACACATTCTGAGCGCAAGTTCAAGGCCACAAGGCCAATTCTCATGCAGGACTATAAATCAAGGTGAACAAGCAAGACAGTGATCTCAACCTAGCAAGGGTAAGCATGCAGGTGCAGGTATATATAGATCATAGTACAAGCAAAGTCAAGAGGTAAGCAAGTGAGGCCCGGTAGGCACAAGACCTAGCGTAGTACAGAAACTCTGATGATCACAAGGCTGAAGTGCCTTGGTAAAGATATAAGCAGTGTTGGCCCGAGTGGCCACGTAAGGAAGACGATGAGGTGCACGCGCTGAGTGAGCTGATAGCGGAGGCTGCTGTGAGACTCGCTCACCATTCCCCATGTTAAGAGGCCTCCTTGAGGTGAGTTGGGGCCTCTTTGGTGAGTGAAGGGGGATGCATGCACCATGCACAAGCACATGCACACATGCAATGCACCCCCGCACACTCACATATGTGCTGAGCGAGCTGTAGAGGAGGCTGCTGTGCGTCGGGCACACCACGCCCCCATGTTAAGGGCACACACATGCACATGAGGGCACACTCATGCACATGAGGGCACACATGGCCCATGCAGGCACCTGCACCTGAGACACGGGCACATATGCACAACATACCACACCAGACGTTCTTGGCCCCCACTCACCTGCCTTCCTGCCCACACACCTACCCATACGCGTGCCTACTCAGAACCACATGGGCATTGAGCAAGTCAGGTCAGCAAAGCATACAAGTTATGGTTTCCTGCTCCTGCCCGTCTCCCTTTCCCCCTCGACCCTCCCCCCTCCTCTCCCTTCCTAATGCTACCATCATTCTCCCTCCCATGCCGTCATGCACCTGTACGCCATGGCTATCAGATGCTGGAGCTCGTGGAAGCCATAAGGGCTGCTAATCTCAGGCGGGCTTGCTGCATTATGTCATGTGCTGACCACGCTGCTGCAACTCTCGAGCAAGGAAGTAGCGCAGAGCAATATGCTTCGTTCTGTGCTCCAGTCTGTGCTTCTGACACAAGACCAGCATGGCCTTGTTGTCGACGTACAGAACTGGAGGAGAACGAGGCGCCTCTCCCAAGTCGGTTTGCAGGTAGGTGAGCTAGCGTAACTCCTGTGCAGCCATGGCCCAAGCGTGGATCTCAGCCTCACAACTGGAGCTGAGAAAAGAGGACGAGCGGGTAGACCGCCACGAAACAGAGCCGGAACCAAGGCAGAAGGTGTAACCCTGTGACGACCGCTGCGTAGCCAAGTCGTCAACCCAAGAAGCGTCTGTGTGACCAGTGAGGACAACTCGAGCCCGTCCTCCAAGCACGAGCCCCATGCCCGACGTACTGCACAGGTAGCACAACACCCTCTTAGCTGCAGCCATGTGCTCTGGTCAGTGTCTCCCAGGAGCAACATAGCGTGCCAAGATGCTAAGAGTGTATGCCAAGTCAGGTCGAGTAAAGGTCATCAGGTACATGAGGCAACCAACAAGCTCTGGGTATGGGCCACTCGGCTCTACGGACTCATCCAAAGGCAGAGCTGAGAGCGAGTGGCGAGTAGACAGAGGAGTGGCCTGAGGCGAGGAGTACGTGAAGTAAAAGCGCTGAAGGACCTGCTGCACCATGTGTGACTGAGTCAAGGTAATGGTGCACCGTGCTCTGTCCCGGGTGATCTGCAATCCAAGATAGCTGTGCAGTTCACCTAGATCTGTGCACGTGTGTCTCTTCTGCAACTCCGACTTGACGTGGGCCAGTCCAGCAGTGTCAGCAGTAGCAAAAACCAAGTCGTCGACGTACACGAGGATGTAGAACGGCGGCAGAGTAGTGTCGGTGCGGAGATACAGCGACGGGTCAGCAGTGGAAGGAGCAAACCCAAGAGCCACAAGGGTAGTCCTCAGTGTGTCGTGCCACTCTCGGGGCGCCTGGCGGAGACCGTAGACTAGCCGCCAGAGGCTCCACTGGGTACCAGGAGGAAATGACCCAGTGAAGCCAGGTGGGCGGCACAGCCAGATCTCCTCGTGCAGGCTGCCCTGTAGGAAAGCAGTGCTGAAGTCAAGAGAGTGAAGCTCGTAGTCACGCTGAGCAGCGACATGCAGCAGAACCCGAAGAGTGGTCATCTTTGGGGTGGGGGAGAAGGTCTGGAAGAAGTCAACTCCCTGTCGCTAACTGAAGCCTCGAGCAACGTATTGCGCCTTGAAGACAGGCGGAGAACCCGGCGGCCGCTTCACCCTGAAAATCCACATGCCACTGACGATGTTCGCCCCAGGAGGGGGAACCTCGTCGACCTAGGTGCATGTGGACTTCCACGATGCCATCTCTGCATCCATGGCTGACTAGCACAGAGAGGAGTAGGGACCCTCTATCGCTCCTGTGTAAGAGCGCGGGGTCGGGGTGTCTGGTGCATCTGGCTCTCCCTCAGGTGCAACAAGCATGGACACGAGATGAGGTACAGCGGCTGCAAAGCACTCAAAGTCCTCCGGCCTGTCCTCAAGGACGTCCGTGCCAAGAGCACACTCACCCCTGACGGACGGAGGACAGACAGACTCAGACTCAGCAACAAGACTCGCGGCGTAGTCTAGACGACAGTGAGCAGCAAAGTCGACAAGCTCAACAACTAAGGCAGACGCAGCAGTGGATTCAAAAGATGGGTCAGTGACAACAGTGGCCAGGAGACGCGTGACAGTGGGACTAGCAGCACGAAGGGAGTCAGATGTCGTGTCAGCAAGGGCAGGAAGAGAGGACGCAGGAGGAGACGGCAGAGGGACACGCTGCGGAGCAGTGGAAGGACGCAGAGCCATCTAGTGGGTGCCAAGGACAGGAGAAGGACGCTGACGCAAACCACAACGACTAGTGCGAGCAGCACGAACAGGCGACGCAGGACGAGACTCAGGTGACACAAGACGATGCTCAGGCTAACGACGCTCCACAAGACCTCCGGTCGGACCAGTGTAAGGAGAAGGAGCAGGCAGTGGGGAGGCGGGCTGTAACTGTGACTGCGTCTGGATAGGCTGTGGACACTCTAAGGAAGGGGCAGGACAAGTAGAAGGCGGGAGACCAATAACATGTTGAAGGAGCGGAACGACGTACGGCCACAGCCGCGCAGCGCCTCCAGAACCAGCAGGGACAGCACCAGCACCCCCAGCGGGAACTCCAACTCCAGCGGCACCTCCAGCAGCTCTAGTGGCGCCAACTCCAGCACCCACAGGAGCACCGGCTCTAGCAGCACCTCCAGATCCAGCACCTCCAGAAGCTCCAACTCCAGCAGGACCACCAGAAGCCCTAGTAGCTCCAGCAGCACCACCAGGCCTGGCAGCTCCAGTACCTCCTGTATGAGCACCTCCATGATCCGTGGCTCCAGAACCCCCAGCAGCTCCAGCAGCAGCAGGACCTTCAGAGCTAGTAGCACCACCAGCTCCAGCAGCACGGCTCTAGTGCCGAGCAAACCACTCGTGCAGCTGCTGTGGAGAGAGTGGCTCCCGACGGGACGAAGCACCCGAAGGACCTCCAGGCTCAGCACCTCCAGACTCCACACTCGCAGGCTCAGCACCCGCAGACTCCGCACCCCCAGACTCAGCAACCCCAGGCTCAGCACCCCCAGTCTTAGCACCCCCAGACTCAGCAACCCCAGGCTCAGCACCCACAGGCTCCGCACCCCCAGGCTCAGCACCCCCAGAACCGAAAGTCGCAGGCTCAGCACCCCTAGCAGCACCAGAGTCAATAGCTCCCTCGACAGGCTCGACTGCATCTACCTGGGACACACCTAAGGGGGCAGGACCCTGAGGGGGAAGGGGGTCTACCGGGGGAGGACCTGGCGCGACGAAGAGCGGCTGGGGGGGGAGGGGGGCAGTGCGGTAGGGGAAGAGACGGTAGTAAGGAACCGACTCATATAACGTGACATCCTGAGAGGACAGAACACGGCGCGAGGTGGGGTGGTAAAACTGCCAACCAGGCGCGTCAGGGGGGAAGCCAAGGAAGACGCAGGGAACAGCACAGGAGGACACCTTGTTCGCAGACAAGTCGCGAACGAAAGCTCGAGATCCCCAGACACGGAACGCAGATGCATCGCCAACCTTCCCCGTCCACCGCAGAGGTGTGGTCTCCGGCACGGAGACCCGGGGCTGGAGATTGATCTGATGTGCTGTGTACTGAACCGCGAATGGCCACAGAAAATGGGGAGCAGCCGCATGGATCATGGACGTATGAGCGACGTCCATGACCATGCCAATGCGGCGCTCAGCAATCCCATTTTGCTGTGGAGAGGCCGGAAGCGTGAACGTCTGGCGAATGCCCTCTGCACGACAGAAGGCCTGCAGAAGGTCAGAGGAAAACTCTCCACCTTTGTCGGAGTGCAGACGCAGAACAGGAAGGTCCGAGCCGGAACTCTCGCTGAGCTGACGACGAGCAGCGCGGATCCAGTCGATCAACACCTCAGTGACCTCACCCTTGCGGCGCAAGGGGAAGACTGTGGTGTAACGCGAGTAGTCATCAACGATCAGCAGAAAGTAGCCCTCATGACCCTATCCACGAACGCGGGCGGGGACGCTGCAGCAAACACCTGACCGGGACGCTGCAGCAAACACCTGACCCAACGCGGCTACCTGACCAGACTCAGCAACCTGAGGAGACACGGTAGTCAGGGTGTACAGGCTCGACCCAGGCTGATGAGTGAACGTGGCCAGGTGCCGTCCCGTCCGAGTACACGAACAGTCGGTCACCCGCTGACCTCCAGGAGTAGACTGGTCAACCCACGCGTCCTGAAGGTCAGCTCCACTCACCAATTTCGTGGAGAACGAGGGGAGGTGGAGGCCAGAGAGAGAGCCAGACGGGACCGCCGAACATGGCAGAACCATGGAGGAGTGTGCAAGGACCGGACCCCTAGAGGGTTCAGCCACAGAGACTGCCACTAGCCGATTGAGCGGCGAGAGTGTGGTGCAGTCGGGAAGCATCCGAGTGAAGGGTGAAAGTGTGCAAGTCCTGATCCGACGCGGTACCTGAGAGAGCAGACTCACCAGCACCTGGAGCAGTAGACTCACTAGCACCTAGAGCAGCAGCCTCTATGCCCGGGTCAGGCGGAACATACAGGTAACAGACACCCTTAGCACTAATAGACACATCATACATAGCAGCAAGGATAGCATCATAATCAAGATCAAAGACAGCAACCCCCGACTTAAGCAGATCATCCCAGCGAGGGAGCTCAGTGGCGCCAGGAAAACTGTGCACGCCATGCGTCAGTCAGGCGGCCGAAATAGAGGTGCGTAGCGTGCGGCCCTCCGCACGTCTCCCCACTGCGCTCGCCGGTGCGGAGCACGTAAGCGCACGGACCAGCACCCCTAGACCTCCCACGCCCAGCGTACCACTCACGAAGCTGCTAGGGCGACAGGGTCTCACGAGAACGCTGTTGCTGCTGGCGCTGGCCACCACCAAAGCCTCCCCGCTGCACAGTGCCACCCCAACCAGCACCACCGCCGCCGCCACCCCCACCGCCTCTGACGCCGCCGCCACCACCTCCACCCCCACTTCCGCTGCCTCCGCCGCCTCCACCTCCACTACCGCCACCGAAGCCCCCACTCCCCCCACCACCCCCACCTCCACCCCCACCCCCTCCGCCGCCTCCACCGCCACCACCACCGCCCCCGCCGTCTCCTCCAGCACCCTTGCCCCCCTTGCTCCTGCCGCTGCGGTGCCTCCCACTAGGAGCAGACGCAGCGCCGACCGACTTGGTGCCAACGAGGTCGACAGCACCAGCAGAGGCGAAAGAAGGCAAAAGGGGAACGGGGGAGCACCCCTCAAAGAAAGGGGCACGAGGGTCACCACGAGAGGCTCCTGCAGTGACTATGCTCTTCTCAGGTGCAAGGAGGCGCTCCTCGAGGAGGTCAACAGTGAGCGTGGTGGGGCAAAGGGAGAGGAATTGGTCCCTGACCGAGCGAAGGGAGTCAGGGAGCCGGGTGACAAGGTAGTAGAGAGTGATGTACATAGGGAGGGGGGGTTCGCGGTGCAGAACTCGGCAGGATGTGCAGCGCGGTAGCGGGTGTCACTAGTGCGGAGGTGCGTGATGAGGTCAGCGACTGTGGCAAAAGCGGCTAGGTCAGGGAACAGGTACGACAGCATGAGGCGGCTAAGGGCACCAGTGGCAGGGGAGGAGTAGCGCGCAACAACAGCATCGTACAGAGTCCTAGCGGTCTTGTACGGGCAAAAGTGCGCGCGCTCAGCAGACGGCAGGTGACTACGAATAGCAAGACGGGCAGCAGCATCGCGTGTGGTCCAGTGCGAGCGAACAGTACTGTCAGCATCAGCGGCAGGTGCAGCAGAGGCGCCAGACGTAAGATAAAAAAGCGAGACTACGTCCTTGCTATGGCACTGCAAAAACAGTTGCAGACCATCGACCCAGCATCGAAGGAAAGTACGTGAGGGGTAGCCATGACAGCAGTAGCAGTAGTAGTAGCAGCAGCAACAGCAGCAGCAGCAGTAGCAGGAGCAGCGCAACTCGGCAGGGCGGAGCGGCTCGGTAGGGCGGCGCGGCTCGGCAGGGCTGTGCAGCTCGGTAGGGCGGCGCGGGTGCAGCGCTGCGTTTACCAGGGCGGGATCGGGGTAGGGCCGCAGTTGGAAGGGCAGGGCCGAGGCGCGCCGGCAGGTCAGGGCCGCAGCGACGGCGGCAGTAGGCAGGGCCACAACAGCGGCAGTTGGAAGGGCCGCGGCAGCGGCAGGCAGGGCCGCGACAGCTGCAGGCAGAACTGCGACAGCAGGGCGGCTTCAGGGAGGGCCGCAACGGCAGGGCGGCAGGGCCACGACGGCCTCAGGCAGGGCCGCGACGGAAGGGGCCGCGATAGCAGGGGTCGCGACGGCAGGGCCACAACGGCCAGGGGCCGCGACGGCAGGGGCCGCGACGGCTAGGGGCCGCGAGTGCAGGGCCGCGACGGCTCTAGTCAGGGCCGCGACGGCAGGGTAGGCGCACGGGGCGCAGGTAAGGCAGGCGCGAGGCGCTCGACAGGGCAGGGAGCGCGCTTCGGGCTGGGCAGAAAAAATATTAAGCGGTGGGCCCTTAAAGAAAACGGTCCCACTAGGGAACCCGCTCTGATACCATGTGAAGAATGAACGAGAGAATGGATGAACTAGGAAGCGGTGGGTACAAGTATGAAAACCTAAAAGAGTTGTACCCCATATTGTTTACCCCACTACAACCTACAATATGGTTAGGACATCCAATATCGCCGACGCACTCACACGCCCCACCGCCCAACTCCACGCCATCCTACTCGCCCAAAATCAACCCACTATTAACAGGCCTATTCACCCATGGATACAGTACCGACCCATTTTTCATGACCGGAAATTCACAGCAACGGGCAGAAGAAAAAGGAGTCTATTACATAAAAACAGGCACCAACAGCATCTGGGTACCCGCGTACTCACTACTGAGGGAACTGTTACTGCAGGAGGCACACGACGGAATTACCTCGGGACATTTTGGGGTAGAAAAAACGCGACAGCATCTGCAGCGGTATTACTACTGGCCGGAGCTGTTGACCGACGTACAACACCACGTGGGCTCGTGTCCTACGTGTCAGGTAATGAAGAGCTCGCGAAAAAGAAAGGCGGGTCAGTTGCAGCCGATTCCACCACCTGAGCACGCCTGGCAGCAGGTTACCATGGATTTCGTCACACGGTTACCTTCGAACCCTGGGGGTAACGACGCGGTTATGGTGGTCGTTGACAAATTGACGAAAATGGCACAACTCGCTGCGTGCAAGAAATCGATCTTACCCGAAGAAAACGCTCGCCTGTTCATCGCAGACGTCGTTCGACTGCATGGGATACCAGCCGCGATAATCAGCAACCGCGACACGAAGTTCACCAGCAACTTCTGGAAAAGCCTCTGGGAGCAGTTCGGGACCAGGCTACACTTCAGCTCGTCGTACCACCCCGAGACCGATGTGTGAGAATAAGAACGAGGAATGACTAGAAATAGGACAGTACAAGGTTTGTATAGGCAAAACCTAACAATTATGTACCCCATACAGAGTGCCCCACTACAGCCTACAATATAGTTCTGACACACCCCCATAGGCAAAGTGGAGGACAAGCAAGAGAACAAGGCAAGGTCAAGCTCAGGGTGGATCACAACGTCACCACACATTCTGAGCACAAGTACAAGGCCATAAGGCCAGTTCAGATGAAGGATTATAAATCAGGGTGAACAAGCTAGACATTGATCTCAACCTAGCAAGGGTAAGCATGCAGGTGCAGGTATATATAGATCATAGTACAAGCAAAGTCAAGAGGTAAGCAAGTGGGGCAAGGTAGGCACAAGACCTAACATAGTACAAAACCGCTGATGATCACAAGGCTGAAGTGCCTTGGTAAAGATAACAGCAGTGTTGGCCCAAGTGGCCACGTAAGCAAGACGAAGCAGACCACGCTGCTGCAACTCTCGAGCAAGGAAGTAGCGAAGAGCAATGTGCTTCGTTCTTTGCTCCAGTTTGTGCTTCTGACACAAGGCCAGCATGGCCTTGTTGTCGACGTACAGAACTGGAGGAGAACGAGGCGCCTCTCCCAATTCGGTCAGCAGGTAGGTGAGCCAGCATAACTCCTGTGCAACTATGGCCCCTTCGGAGCTCTAAGTAGCGCAACACCCTCTTCGCTGCAGCCATGTGCTCTGGTCGGTGTCTCCCAGGAGCAACAAAGCGTGCGAGAATGCTAAGAGGGTATGCAAGGTCAGGTCGAGTGCAGGTCATCAGGTACATGAGGCGGCCAACAAGCTCTGGATACGGGCCACTCGACTCTACAGACTCATCCGAAGGCAGAGCTGAGAGCGAGTGGCGAGTAGGCAGAGGAGTGGCCTGAGGCAAGGAGTACGTGAAGCCGAAGCGCTGAAGGACCTGCTGCACCATGTGTGACTGAGTCAGGGTAATGGTGCGGCGTGCTCTGTCCCGGGTGATCTGCAAGCCAAGGTAGCTGTGCAATTCACCCAGGTCAATGCACGTGTGTCTCTTCTGCAGCTCGGACTTCACGTAGGCCAGTCCAGCAGTGTCAGCTGTGGCAAAGACCAAGTCGTCGACGTACACAATGATGCAGAACTGCGCCAGAGTAGTGTCGGTGCAGAGAAACAGCGACAGGTCAGCAGTGAAAGGAGCAAACCCAAGAGCTGCATGCGTAGTCCTCAGTGTTTCGAGCCACTCACGGGGCGCCTGGCGGAGACCGTAGACTAGCCGCCGGAGGCTCCACTGGGTACCAGGAGGAAACGACCCAGTGAAGCCAGGTGGGCGGCGCAGCCAGATCTCCTCGTGCAGGCTGCCCTGTAGGAAGGTAGTGCTGAAGTTAAGAGAGTGAAGCTCGTAGTCACGCTGAGCAGCGACATGCAGCAGAACCCGAAGAGTGGTCATCTTCGGGGTCAGGGAGAAGGTCTGGAAGAAGTCAACTCCCTGTCGCTGACTGAAGCCTCGAGCAACGTAACGCGCCTTGAAGACAGGCGGAGAACCCGGCGGCCGCTTCACCCTGAAAATCCACATGCCACTGACGATGTTCGCCCCAGGTGGGGGAAACTCGTCGACGTAGGTGCCTGTGGACTTCCAGGATGCCATCTCTGCGTCCATGACTGACTGCCACTGAGAGAAGTAGGGACCCTCTATCGCCTCTGCGTAAGAGCGCGGGGTCGGGATGTCTGGTGCATCCGGGTCTCCCTCAGATGCAATCAGCATGGACACGAGATGAGGTACAGCGGCTGCAAAGCACTCAAAGTCCTCCAGCCTGTCCTCAAGGACGTCAGTGCTAAGATCACACTCACCCCCGACGAACGGAGGACAGACAGACTCAGACTCTGTAACAAGACTAGCGGCGTAGTCTAGACGACAGTGAGCAACAAAGTCGACACTTCAGCAACTAAGGCAGACGAAGCAGCGGACTCAAAGGAAGGGTCCGTGACAACAGTGGCCAGGATACGCGTGACAGTAGGACTAGCAGCAGGAAGGGTGTCAGACTCCGGGTCAGCAAGGGCAGGAAGAGAGGACGCAGAAGGAGACGGCAGAGGGACACGCTGCGGAGCAGTGGACGGAAGCAAAGCCATCTGGTGCGTGCCAGGGACAGGAGGAGGATGCTGACGCGAACCACGATGACCAGTGCGAGCAGCACGAATAGGCGATGCAGGACAAGACTCAGGCTCACGACGCTCAGCAAGACCACCGGTCGGACCAGTGTAAGGAGAAGGAGGAGGAAGAGGGGAGGCAGGGTGTAACTGTGACTAGGACTGGACAGGCGGTGGACACTCTAAGGAAGGAGCAGGACAAGTAGAAGGCGGGAGACCAAGAACCTGCTGAATGAGCGGAACGAAGTACGGCCGCGGCCGCGCAGCGCCTCTAGAACCAGCAAGGACAGCACCAGCAGCCCCAGCGTCAGCTCCAACTCCAACAGCACCACTAGCTCCAGCAGCACCTCCAGCAGCTCTAGTAACGCCAACTCCAACACCCATAGGAGCACCGGCTCTAGCAGCACCTCGAGCTCCAGCACCTTCTGCAGCTCCAGCTCCAGCAGGACCACCAGAAGCCCTAGCAGCTCCAGTAGCGCTAGCGCCAGCACCTTCACCAGCACTTGCTCCAGCAGCACTGCCAGCTCCAGCACCTCCAGCAGCTCCAGCTCCAGCAGCACCACCAGGCCCAGCAGCTCCAGTACCTCCAGTACAAGCGCCTCTGGGACCAGTGGCTCCAGAACCCACAGCAGCTCCAGCAGCAGCAGGACCTCCAGCGCGTGTAGCACCACCAGCTCCAGCAGCACGGCTCCAGTACCAAGCAAACCACTCGCGCAGCTACTGAGGAGAGAGCGGCTCCCGTCGGGATGAAGCACCCGAAGGACCTCCAGGCTCAGCACCTCCACACTCCACACGTGCAGGCTCAGCACCCTCAGGCTCTGCAAGCCCAGACTCAGCAACCCCAGGCTCAGCACCCCCAGGCTCAGCACCCCAAGACTCAGTACCCCCAGGTTCCG